TTCCCATCGCAAAAACTATCGAAACCCAAGAAACCCAGGGCACCCTGAAGGCAAGCAGGGTATTTCTTGGCATGGACCTCCGCTGTATTGTTAGGAATGCCCGCGCCCGTGCCGTACCGAAGTGAGCTCGCCGCGGGGCACGATCCGCGCGGGTACGATATTGCGCCGAGCTGGGCGGGCGGACGTCACACAGAGAAGAAGAAACAACGGCATTCACATTTAAACTCTCGCAAGTCCGCGCGGAGCTCCGAGAGTTTATGCAACCGTTTCCTTCTTCGAGGTTGGTGCCCTGGGTGAAGCCCAGTACGGGGCGCGATCTGCCCGGTGGGGTGTGGCCGAAACGGGCACGCGGGTGCAACGGCACAAGCAGCGCGGCGGCTGGCAGCGGCGGCAACATCAGCCGCAGGACAGCGTCTGCAGCATGACGAAGGCGGCGCAGCAGCGGTAGCAGCGGGAAGTGGAAGGGAGAAGGGCGTGAGACGCGCGGCGATACAGGGAGACAGCTAGGCCTTCGGGACACCCCAAAACACAGCAGCGCAAGGCAGCATACAGGCCATGGCCCGCGAGTGGCAGGACCTCAGGTGCAGCGCGCTCTGCCCCTACTGGCAAGATCCACCTCTGCACGCGCGCCGCCCACGGTGCAGACTCCGCAATACCGCACTCCAAATCGACCCGCTCGGCTAGGAAACCGAGATGCTCGCGCTGGGGACCTTCCTGGAGCCACTCGATCCACTGATGCGACGATGCTGCGTCGAACGTCCGTCGACTTGAGTCGAGCTCAAGTCGATTCAGAGTCCGCTAATCAGGAGGAGAAGAAACACACAGACACAATTAATCATCGGTTCCCCAGAAAATATAAGAAACTATGGGAAGTCGGGGGAAGACAGAAACCCAGAAAATATGCGAAAATATGAGGAATATTTTTATTTGTGTGTATTTATGTGTGTGTGTGTGTGTCCTGGGGCCCCTTCAGTTAAGTGAGCCCCAGGACAGTCCCGCAAACAAGCACCGACGCAAAAGTCCATCCCGATGTTCCCTCGGCCTCCAGAGTTCTGCTCGGTGGCTCCCGGGCCTCCTGCCCCGCAGGGAGGCCATCCGACCAATGGCAGGCCTGAGCTAAATCCCTGTGGGCGGGGATAAAAAAAGAGGGGGGGAAAGGGGGGGGACACCTTTATTATCGCCAGCACGCGGTTAACGAAATCGGATCGGATCGGAAACGGATCGGATCGCCAGCGAATCGGCTCGAACTCGTATCGCCGCCCCCGGCTGCGGCTGGCCCCGGCCGATGCCTGGGAACCCAACCGGATCGGGTCGAATCGGAGTCGTGGCCCCAACGGGCGAATCGAATCGCATCGAATCGGATCTTAGGCGGCCGTGCTCATGGTCCTTGCGGCCCATGATCTGGCCGCACTTCTTCACTCTGGCGAGGGTTGTCCGCCGGGCGATATCCAGCACCTGGGCGGCGCAGGATAAAGGGTGTACTACATGGCGTTCGGAAAGAGTGGTCAGAAAAATAAAATAGGAAGTGAGGGGGAGCGTAAGGGGGGAGGGGAGGCTGGCTCAGGGCGGAGAACATCGACCTGGCATCGGCGATACACTGCCGAAGGATCGGCGATAAGCCACCGACAGCGAACCCGCACGTTCCTGGGCGGGGTGGGCTACCCGGTCCCTATCGGCGATGCATGGGCGATTGGGGGTCGATGCATCCCCCCCTGAGCCGATCCCCCTAAACGTTGCCGCTGTGAAAGGTCTCGGCACGCGGGCGCAATCGGCGGAAAACGTAGGAACTCATTGGTTCTTGAAGCCGGAATGCACTCAACGTAGGTTGGTCGTGACATGTGAAACCATGATGGAAAACTGAACTTACGCACTACTCTGCGAACCACCGAGCGATCAAACTCTAGCTAGCTTGGATGCAAGAATAGCCGTGCCATAATTATCCAGAGCAGCTGGGCGGCGATGCGGTCTTGGGGTCAAGTTGATGCCCCTTGTAGATGATATTACACCTGAGAAAACCCAATCAGTGGATGATTTGAAAATAAATACTATTAATCTTGAGATCGATGGTGAGATCGATCGTGGAATCGATAGTGAGGACGATTGTAAGGTCGAGTGTGAGACCGAAAAAGAAATCGCTTCAATGAGATCGATAGTGAGATCGATCGCGAGATCGCTCATGCGATCTCTAGTGAGATCGCTTGTGAAATCGATAATGAGATCGATGGTGAGATCGATAGAGAAGTGGGTCATGAGATCGATGGTGATACCGATCGATAAAAAAGACGCCCAAAAACCCGGGAACCGGGGAACCTCGCCGCCCTCCGAAATCGGCCCAGAACCCGGAACTGGGAACCCGGGAACCTGGAACCGGGAACCCGGGAACCCAGCGTGCGACCAAAATCGGCGGGACACTTTCGTCAAATCCTTCAACTTCCGCGAGGACCTCTTCAATGCAAGCACTGATTGGGGAATATCGCCTCACTTAGGGACGCCCCGTCGAACCGCCATGAATGCCTCAGGGTATGACCTGGCTTTTATGATGTAAGGAACATAATGGCGCATGTCGCATGTGTTACGTATTGAAACGGGGTAGGCGAGGAGGAATATGTAGGCGGGCGTGAGAGAAGAAGGAAGACGATGCAGGAACAGGAGCGATGATAACGTGGACTGAGGATAACGAGGACTAGTTAAGGAGGCAGAGTAAGGGGAAGACTTTGCCATGGAGGCCGTGGAGCTACTGCCACCGAAAGTTTGGACACCCCCAGGGTTTGTCAAACAATTGACAAATGCATCAGGGCGTGGACTAATTCAACGATTTGAAGCCCTCTTGGAGCACCCTTGTGACCTACTGGAAGGGAAGAGGGCCGGAGGGAAGATGCAAGAAGATAATACGAAGAGGGGAGAATGAGGAATGACGAAGAAGTGCAGGTAAGGAGAGGAAGGAGCAAGAGACCTGGAAGACGAAATTCGAGGTCGACTGCCGCGAGTCGCCGCCGCCCCCCTGCCGTTGGAACGAGCTTCTACCGCCATGCGTTTTGGGAAGCGCAACGGTCGCGTGCGCGCGCGTGGCCGACAGCAGATCGACAAGGGCTCCCAACTTCGCGCTTCGCGCTCCGCGAAGCGCGAATAACTTCGCGCTCGCGCGCCGCCCCCCAACAGGGAGAAAAGGAGGACGAGGAGGAGGGGGAGAAGGAACGAGGCCCGCGAAGCGCGAAAAACGTCGCGCCCTCGTGGGAGCCTGTGGTTGAACTCCGAGGGCCCGCCGGGGCAGTCTTGCGGCTGCCTCGGCACAACTGGGGCGTCCGGGGGCCCCCTGCCGGGCTGCTGTGGTGCCAAATGGGGCCGCCTGGGGCCCCATCGAGGCCTGGTCATCGCTCGGACGTCCACTCCCCGTGCTTTTTTCGGTTTCGTGCGTGGTGTTTTCGCCAGATGATCAAGGATGCTCCTCGATGATCCTCGAAGGATGCACACGTCCGAGCGATG